AGAGGCCGCCAACACGGCCCAAGAGGCCTCCAGACGGCTTCCGGGAAGGCCCGAAGAGGCCCAAATCATGTATGTTGCTTTAGTTGTTGACGGATGTTGGCATTTGTTTCTTTCCAACCTTCCGACGGCCCGAGACGGCCCAAGAGCCCCCAAAGATCGCCCCAAGATCGCCCAAGAGGCCTCCAACATGGCCCCAGAAGGGCCCAAGAGGCCCCCAAGACGGCCCCAAGGAGCCCCAAGACGGCCCAAGAGGCCTGCAAGACGTCCACGATGGCCGCCAAGACGGCCCTGGAGCACCCCAAGAAGGCCCCCAAGACGGCTTCCGACGACGTCAGAGGGGCCAGGAGCCCACCAAGACGGCCGAAGATGGCTCCAAGATGGCCCAAGACGGCACAAGAGGCCCCCAAAAGGTCCCCAAGACGACCCCAGAGGCCTCCAAGAGGACCTTTGGGAAGGCCCGAAGAGGCCAAAATCAATGGTTTTCCATATGATGTTGACTGATGTTGGCATTTGCTTCTTTCCAACCTTCCGACGGCCCGAGACGGCCCAAGAGTCCCCAAAGATCGCCCCAAGATCGCCCAAGAGGCCTCCAAGATGGCCCCAGAACGGCCCAAGAGGCCCCCAAGACTGCCCCAAGAGGACCCCAAGAGGACCCTAGAGGCCTCCAAGACGCCCAAGATGGCCTCCAAGACGGCCCTGGAGCACCCCAACAGGGCCCCAAGTCGGCCCAGAGAGGCTCCCGAGACGGCTTCCGACAGCGTCAGCCAGGCAAGGAATGCCCCTCAAGAGGACCAAAGCGGCCCCCGAGAAGCCCCCTAGAAGCCCCGCAAGAGGCCCAAGGAGGCCCCCAGGATGCCTCCAAGAGGCTCCCAGGAAGCTCCCAGGAGGCCCCAAGAGTGCCCCAAGAGGTTCCCAAGATGCCCCCTTCTGCTCCTCCTCCTCCTCCTCCTCCTCCTCCTCCTCCTCCTCCTCCTCATCCTGCTCCTCCTCCTCCTCCTCCTCCTCCTCCTCCTCCTCCTCCTCCTCCTCCTCCTCCTCTCCTCCTCCTCCATCCTCCCTCCTCCTCCTCCATCTCCTCCATCCTCCTCCTCCTCCTCCTCCTCCTCCTCCTCCTCCTCCTCCTCCTCCTCCTCCTCCTCCTCCTCATCCTTCTTCTCCTCCTCCTCCTCCTCCTCCTCCTCCTCCTCCTCCTCCTCCCCGCTTTCCCTCGTCCGTCCTCCTCCTCCTCCTCCTCCAATTCCAACTCCAACTCAAACTCAAACCTCCTCCTCCTCCTCCTCCTCCTCCTCCCTCCTCCTCTTCCTCATCCTCCTCCTCCTCCTCCTCATCCTGCTCCTCTCCTCCTCCTCCTCCTCCTCCTCCTCCTCCTCCTCCTCCTCCTCCTCCTCCTCCTCCTCCGACTTCCCCGCCATCCTCCCCCAAGTGTTCCCCGAGGGGTTTTCCACAACGGCTGGGGGAACACGTGGTCCGATAGCTTGGCAGAGCTCTGGCCAGGCAGCCACAACGCTCGGGCAATCCGATTCCAAAGGCAAGGGGCGGCGGTGATTCGCCGTAGACGTCTTCGATACCTTCAATATCATCACCAACGTCATCACATGCATCGCCATGCTCACATTCAGTCTCATCACCACAATCCCCCTGCGCCGAATCCTCACAACGCGCGTCCTCACCGTGCTCCCCTTTCCACGTCATCCTCCTCACAGTCACGACCACTATGGTTCCGCATTCCCTCTTTCTATCCCTCCACCACCCTCCTGATCTCGCCTCCTCCTCCTCAGCTTCATCATCATCACCATCATAATCATCATCAGCAGCAGCGGCATCAGCATCAGCATCAGCATCAGCATCAGCATCAGCATCAGCATCAGCATCATCATCATCATCATCATCATCATCATCATCATCATCATCATCATCATCATCATCATCATCATCATCATCATTAGCATCATCAACATCATCATCATCCTCATCAGCATCAGCAGCATCATCAGTAGCAGCATGATAATCGTCATCAACATCATCATGAGCATCATCAGCATCATCAGCAGCATCGTGATCATCATCAACATCAGCAGCATCATGATCAGAATCCTCATGATGATCTGCATCATCATCCTCTCCATCAGCATCATCAGCAGCAGTATAAACATCATCAGCATCAGCATCAACAGCATCAGCATCATCATCAGAATCATCATCATCATAATCATCAGAATCGTCATCTTCATCATCATCAGCGTCATCAGCATCATCAGCAGCATCGTGATCATCATCAGCATCAGCATCATCATGATCATAATCCTCATGATGATGATCATCATCATCATCATCAGCATCATCATCATCATCATCATCATCATCATCATCATCATCCTCATCCTCATCATCATCAGCATCATCATCAGCAGCATAAACATCAACAGCATCAGCATCAATAGCATCAGCATCATCATCATCAGAATCATCATCATCAGCAGCATCAGCACCATCAGCATCAGCATCAGCATCATCATCATCAGCATCATCAGCATCATCAGCATCAGCATCATCAGCATCATCAACATCATAAGCATCGTCATCATCAACAGCATCAGCATCATCATAATCAGCATCATCAGCAGCAGCATCATCATCAGCATATTCATCATCAGCATCATAAGCAACATCATTGTCAGCATCAGCATCATCATCAACAGCATCAGCATCAGCATCACCATCATCAGCATCACCATCATCACCATCAGCATCATCAGCAGCATCATCATCCTCGTCCTCCTCCTCATCATCATCACCGCCATCAGCAACAGCTTCATCAGCAGCATCAGGATCAGGATCATAAGTTGAATCAGCATCATCAGCAGCAGCATGACGATAATCATCATCATCAGCAGCAGCATCATCATCATCATCTACATCATCATCGTCATCATCACCATCAGCAGCAGCAGCCTCCTCCTCATCATCATCATCATCCCTCCCTCCCTGCCCCCCTCCCTCCCTCCCTCCCTCCTGCCTCCTCCATTCTCCATACTTCCTCCTCCTTCCTCCCTCCTTCTTCCTCCTGCCTCCTCCTCCCTCCCTCCTCCCTCCTCCCTCCACCTTCCTTCCTCCTCCTCCCTCCTCCCTCTTCCCTCCTCCCTCCTCCCTCTTCCCTCCTCCCTCCTCCCTGCTCCGACCCTCCTCGTTCTCCTCCCCATGCCCCTCCCCCTCATCTGCCGGGCTTTCCGCTCGGCCGGTATGCTCGCGCGAGCGCGGGGAACGGGGAGGGAGCGTACACCCAGACGCGCACACGCGGGGAGAGAGGGAGAGTGGGAAAAAGGGAGGGAGCGGAAAATGAGAAAGGGAGGGGAGAAGGGGAGGGGTAGGGTGCGTAAAGGGGGGAGGAGAGGGGAGGAGAGAGGAGAAGGAGAGGGGCAAGCCAGGTGCGCTCGCGCCATATCTAACATCCTGTCCCTCCCTCCCATCCCTTCCTTTTGCGCTGATGTTTTCTCTATCCGTGGACGCGTGTCATAATATACCTCGAACTCCAGTGGGGCCTGTGAGACTTGCGACACCTGTGGACCTGTGGGACCCTGTGGGACCTGTGGGCCCTGCGAGACCGGTGAGACCTGCGAGACCTGTGGGACCTGTAGTACTGGTGGGACCTGTGGGACCTGTGGAACCTGGGGGACCTGTGGGACCTGTGAGACATACGACACCTGTTGGACCTGTGGGACCTGCGGGACCTGTCGGACCTGTGAGACCTGTGGGACATGAGAGACCTGCGACACCTGTGGAACCTGTGGGACCTGTGGGACCTGTCAGACCTGTAACCTGTGGGACCTTGGGGACCTGTGGGACCTGTGGGACTGTGGGCCGACCTGCGACACGAGTGAGTCCTGTGGGACCTGAGGGACCTGTGGGGGCTGAGGGACCAGTGGGGCCTGCGAGACCTGTGGGACCTGTGGGACCTTCAAGACCTGCAGGATCCAGAAAAGTGGGCCATGCTAGGGCGGGAGCCCCAGCCGAAAATGAGGCCCAAACTGCAGCGAGAGTACCAATATTGAAATACTGGAAACGATCGGATTGTACAATCCTGTGTTAAAAACAGGATGCAGAAGGGGGCGGGACATCTTCTGGACAGGATCAGGGAAGAGAGGAAAGTAGTATCCAAAATGTGTCCTGTATGTTATGGAAAGAATTGGTTCTCTAAGAATTGGAGTCGCCAACCCCCCCGCCAACCCCAGCCAAACCTTCTGAGCAACGCACTGCGTGCTGGAAGCAAACGGGCACGCCCGGACTGAGCTTTCTGGGATCAGCGGGACCCAGAGCTATGAGGATGTCCCAGGCGAAACGGGACTGGCCAACCTTTCCGACCAACCTCTAAAGATCCAGCCAACCCTCCCGGCCACCCCCTCATGCCGACCCTTGTTACACGAAGTTCTCCCCACAAGACATAATACTGTGGAGAGGGAGAGGGGGAGAAGAGGGAGGGGAGGGGAGAGGAAAGGCGAGGGGAGGAAAGGGGAAGGGAGGGGAGGGGAGGGGAGAGGGGGGAAAGGGGAGGTGAGTGAGGGGAAAGGGGGTGGAGGAAAAGAGAGGGGAGGGGAGAAGACAGGGTGGGGGGAGGGCTGGAAATGGGACTGGCTCCACCCGCTTCCTGCCTGGAAGCGCACAGCTCGTCGGCAGAGTACCGCAGAAATTACTGCCGCCTGTGCCCGCACACTCTGTATCCGAGATCGGAAAAAGGAGGGAGGGAGGGACATGGAGGAGATGGAGGCGCCCTCCTCCCTCCCGAGGGAAGGAGGGAGGGGGGGGGAGGGAGGGAGGGAGGGAGGGAGGGAGGGAGGGAGGGAGGGATGAAGATGGAGACGAATCGAGCTCGGGGAAGGAGGGAGGGAGAGGGAGGGAGGGATGGAGATGGAGACGAGTCGAGCTCGGAAGGAGGCAGGGAGGGAGGGAAGGGAGGGCGGGAGGAGAAAGGCAGATGGAGGAACCCTCCTCCCAGGACGGAGCGCCGAGTCGCCAGCGTCGCCAGGAGGCGCCACCACCCGAAGGCGCGTGCGGCCTGTGTCCAGGTCCTGACTACGGGGATCATCCGACGGCCGAGGACGCCCGCAACGACGACGACGCCGACGACGACGACGACGACGACGACGACGACGACGCCGACGACGACGACGACGACGACGACGACGACGACGACGACGGCGGCGGCGGCGGCGGCGGCGGCGGCGGCGGCGGCGGCGGCGGCAGCGACGGCGACGGCGACGGCGACGGCGACGGCGACGGCGACGACAACGGCGACGATGACCACGACGACCACGACGACGACACCCACCACCACCACCACCACCACCACCACCACCACGCCGCCGCCGCCGCCGCCGCCGACGACGACGACGACGACGACGACGACGACGACGACCACGACCACGACGACCACGACGACCACGACGACGACGACGACGACGACGACGACGACGAGTCAGGAGGCCCAAAGAGCAGGATGAGGATGAGGACGAGGAGCGAATTATCTCCACCTCGCCTCCCCCTCACCTCCCCCGCCTCCCCAGTCCCCTCGCCTCCCCTCAGCCTCCCCTCATTCACTCACCAGTCCCTTCCCTCCACTCCTCACCACTGCCCGTCCCGTTCCCTCACCCCACCCATTCAGATCCTTCCCCCCTGCATTGCCTTCACCGCTACCCTCTTGCTCAGCATCCTCTCCCCCCGCCCCCCCACTCCCGTTCTCCTCTCCTTCCCCCTTCAAACTGTTAGTCTGAGGAAGAATCCAAGTTGAGAATAAAGAATGCTGTAGCCCAGAACTCGATCGCCGTGTCAACGTTCGAATCTCGACCTGCCCTGCCCCCACTGCCCCCAGCCTTGCCCCGCATCCCATCCCCCTCTCTTTCCGCCTGCCCCTCCTCCCGCACTCCCCTGCCCTTCCAGCTGAGAGGGAAGGCCTCAAGCTGCCAGGGCGAGTCGCAACCCCGCTCACGATTGAGACGGACCATGCCCCTCCCATGGCGGCAAAGCAGCGTGCTCCAGCATTGGCCTGCCCGTGCCCTGCTTCCAGCCTCGCAGGGGCTAGGAGGTGGGCCTCCCCCCATGACCTCCGACATCGTGACCTCGGTCACGACGTGGGCCGCGAAGCCCTCGACCACATCGCCTGGATCGGCGTCTTGCGACGAACGGACGTTTCCTGCGAGCTCCTGGGCACGATGAGGGCCCCAGACGCCGAAATTGGAGCACAGGCCACAGACTCATTCGCACAAGTGATTCGAAGCGTATTCTGCGCTGTGGGAAGCCTGGGTAATCACTCGAGTGGACGTGCTTCAATGCGAAAAAGCACGTGGTCGGTGTTGCTTGCGACGCTGGCGGTGCAAGTTAAAACGGAAGCCCTATCAGGGTCTGCGTTGCCGCTTGGAGCCTCTCGTCGAGCTCTGTTTGCGGGGGGGGTCTGGACCCGCCCCCGAGACAAAGACGACGGAGAACCTGCAAAAGAAATGTATACCTTCACTCTTGTTGGAGTTCGGAGTAGTCTAGCTACTTACGATTCTGAATGCGAGTGTAGTCGTATTAGTAGTAGCCGCGTTCATCTCGATTGTCGAGTTAATATAGCTACCAGTACTGCTACTAATACTATTGATAGTATTATCATTTCTCGCCTTAATATTGTTATTGCTATGCGTTACGATCCCTCGTATGGTTACGAATCTTACGTAGTTATAACATTATTAATGGTCATACTAACAGAATTATGATCCACGTTTCAAGAACATGGACCTTGAATGTTTGTGCAAGTAGTCGTGAGTTATCTTAACCACACGAACAAGCCGCATTAGTGTTAGTAGTACCATGACGATGCTAGAAAAATAGTGTGGTTGACACCATTGTTGTAATATTACGAATAAAAAGTACTACTGATAGGACGACTTCCAACGTTAAGATTGCTCGCATTATTGTTCGCATAGTATTACCCGTTTTACTATTAAAATCGGCATTACGAGCCTTACAAGCATTGCGATTATTATCGAATGGCCTTCGGCCCATCCCGCTACCGCGCATGGGCTGCGGTTCATAAGCCTCTACGTTGTTCGTTG